TCTATTTCATCCTCACTGGCTTTAGTGGTTGGTCCATAAATTTGAATAATAGTGGTATTAACTGGGCTTCCTGTAGGTGCATGGATATTATCCTATCACAGACAGCATTGTACCTCATGACTGATCTGGATATGTCCTTTGTGACAATGAATGCAACACCATTCCTCATCTTTCACCCAAGATCCATCACACATCAATAATGGTATCCCTCATTCCACATCCTTGTGAGTCCAACTTGAATTTCTGAGTTCCGTCAATGTACTGCTAAGACAGTTCTGAATGATCTTCAGCAAAAATTTACTTGAGTGATAAATTAATGATATTGTTTGATAATTTCTGCATTCTGTGGAGTCATCTTCTTTGAAATGGGCATGTGATAGGTCCAGATGGTAGGTTTGGATAGGGATATTTGGATACGGAGTGGTCATCCCAATTTCAAGGCATAAACAAGTGAATGTCTTCAGCATTGCATTGGTTTGCTGAAACATCTCAGTTGGGGTCTCCTCAGTTCCTGCCGCCTTGTTTTCACCGTTGCCACGAGTGCAGCTAGGATTTCTTCCTTCAGTGCAATCAGTTCTTGCGCACCTGCTCCCTCCTGAAGCGGAGCAACGCTGACCAGTTCTTTTTGGCACAGTGATTCTTCTTTTGATGCATCCCGAATCATTCAGTATTTTACCCATGTTGTTGCTCGGTTCTGACTCACAGCCACCCTGTGCACAACAGAACATACCGCTGCCCAATCCTGTGCCACCCTCACAATCGTTATGCTGAGGCACATGGCTGCTGCCACTGTGCCAACCCACCTTGTTGAGGGTCTCCCTCCGCTGCCCATGCAATGCTTCAACACTGCACATCGAGGTTTGAGTTTTTTCTTCAGTTCTTGCCTTTTGGGTTTCTAACTCCAGGTCTTTGCATATTCATTATAGTACTTTACTCCATCTTCTCCAGACACCCTTGGAAATTTTCTGTTCAGTTTTTTGACTGCATCATTTCTTCCACTTGCTTTAGCTAATCTGTGTTCAAGAGCAAGTTTCAGAGTCTCTTCTGACATCCATTTTGGTCTTGTCTCCTTAATGACCTTCTGCTTTCTTCATGTATGATGTCCTTGACATCATCCCACAATTGGCCTGTTTTTTGGTCATTAGTGTTCAATGAGTCAAATCTATTATTGAGATGGTCTCTCAATTCAGATGGGATATATTCAAGGTCATACTTTGGCTCTCATTTTAATTTACATCAACTTCAACTTGAACTAGCATATGAGCAATTGATGGTGTGTTCCACATTTGTCCCCTGGACTTGTTCTGACTGATGACCTTGAGCTTCTCCATTGTCTCTTCCCACAAATGTAGTCTACTTAATTCCTGTGGATCCCATCTGGCGAGGACAGTATTTAAAATACTCATCTTCAGACCCAGACTATGGGGTATACTATCTAGAAGAGCCCCAGGAGAAAACGGTGAGATCAGTCCCCAGAGGAGCTATACTGTAGTGTCTAAAATGTGAAATTCCCATGGCATGCAAAGAAACAGGTAAGTGTGACCCATACCAAGCATGCAGTAACTGCCTGAAAGAGACCAGGTGTCAGATTTAACAGCACAAACTTGAGAATAAATAGGGTCACAGAACTAAGGAAACCAGAATCATGCATGTGAAGAATGATAACCGTGTCCCATGAGTCCCCACGGCCGCTGCGTCAGTCCGGACTCACAGCAACCCCACAGGACACAGCTACTTCATAGGGTTTCCGTGGCTGCCAATCAGAAGCAGACCACCTCGTTTTCCTCCTGCCGAGTGGCTGATGTGTACAACACGTTGACCTTTCGGTTAGCTGTCCGATGCTTACCCCACTGCACCACCAGGAACCCATTTATAGCAGATGAAACACTGCCCAGCCCTGGGCTGGCCTCACAATCGATGTTACATTTGAGCTCGTTGTTGTGGTCACTCTGTCACTCCAGCTCATGGGGGTGGGGGTGGGGCTCTTACTCTTTTTTTTGATGACTCTCTACGTTATTAAGCACGCACGATGTCCTTTTGCATAACTGGTCCCTCCGGAAAACCTGCCCAAAGTACTTGAGACAAAATCTCACCATTCCTGTTTCTAAGGAGTAATCTGGCTGTACTTCTTCCAAGACAGATTCATCCATTCTTCTGGAGGTCCATGGGACTTTCAGCAGTCTTCATCAACACCTCAGTTCATATGCATCAGCTCTTCTCTGGTCCTCCTTATTCACTGTCCAGCTTTCACGTGCATATGAGACGACTGAAAATACCTGGGCTTGGGTCAGGCACACCTCAGTCCTCAAAGTCACACCTTTGCTCTTGAACACTTACAGAGACCTTGTGCAGAAGATGTGCTCAGTGCTTTGTTTAATTCTTAACTGCTGCTTGCAGGAGCATTGATTATGGATCCAAGGAAAACGAACTCCGCGACAACTTTCATCTTTTCTGCATGTACTATGATGCTGCTTATTGGTCCATTTGTGAGGGGTTTTGTCTTCTTTGCCTTGAGCTGTAACCCATACTGAAGGATGTATTCTTTGGACTTGATCACAAGTGTTACAAGTCCTCTTTGCTCTCAGCAAACAAGGTCGCGTCATCTGCATACTGTAGGTTGTTAATGAACTTTCCTTCAATCCTACTGCCTTGTTCTTCATACAGTCCTGCTTCCCAGAGTATTTGCTCAGCAAATAATAAGGAGTAGGAATTTTTAAAAAAGAACAAATGGCAATTCCGGAGTTAAAAAGTATAGAAACTGGAATAAAACATTCACCAGAGGGGCTTAAAAGTAGATTTGGATTGATAAAAGAAATAATTAGCAAACATTAGGACAGATCAGTAGAAATTATGTAAGCTGAAAACAAGAGACAAAAACCTAGCAAACGAGGTACACAAAAATAAATCAATGCCATGACCAAGTCCCAGGAATAAATTCTGGGACAATTTATGTTTTCACAATAGGACGACAAAGGTAAGGGCAATGTCGTCTTTCCTTAAACTGTGCTTTGGGTGCCAAGATCTTTATTTATTATTCTTCCTTTAATCTACCACCTGCAAACTATTATAATCAATTCTGACCCTTAGTAACTGCTGACTATGTCAGTCAGACCTTTATAGGCTGAACAGCCAGGTAATAAATAATGAGACATTAACAGCTCTTGTGGGCTGTATTGTCTTAGGGTCCTGGCAGGTCAGAGTTAGAGGTGATGTTAAATGTCACTTGGCCACACTTCTGTGCCATGCCCTTATTTCCAGCGCAGGTGCCATTAACTTCAAAGGCAGCATTTAAAAGTTGTCTTCATTTCATTGTTGTAATACTTACCTAGTTCCACAGGTAACATTTTGATAGGATTTCGTTCTAAAAGTAACGTTTTCAAATGCCTTCAAAACAAAACAAAATTGTAATTTTGAGAGCAGAAAATTAAACGATCACCCTTAAAATATTCCACAAATCTCTTCACTTTCCTCCTGTTTAAAGGAGCAGTTTAACTAGAGATACACATACTTTGTAGTAGTTACGAATCGGGCTGCTAATCTCACAGTCAGCAGTTTGAAATTACCAGCTGTTCCACGGGAGAAAGATGAGGCTTTCTGCTCCCGTAAAGATTTATAGCCTCGGAAACCCTGTACAGGGTTGCTATGAGTTGGAACCAACTCCCCGGCACATAACAACAACACATATTTACTGTAATGCAGACATACACGTTCATGTATTATAGACACACACACGTGTCTACAAAACCAGATGATCAAGCCAGGCTTTCTCAACCTCAGCACTGCGGGCCTTTGGAACCAGATATAAAAAGTTGCAGGGCCATCCTGGGAATTGTAAGGTTGGAAACACTCTCAGCCTCCACTCACTACATGAGTAACACCTCCAGAGTGGTGGTAACCATACATGCCTCTAGAAATTGCAAAAGCTATCCCTGGAGGAGAGCCCCTGACTCGGGCTAGTGTACCCTAACCAGATACTAGTACCCCTGGAAGAGAGCCCCTGACTCGGGTTAGTCAACCCTAACCAGATACTAGTAACCCTGGAAGAGAGCCCCTGACTCGGTCTAGTACACCCTAACCAGATACTAGTAACCGTGGAGGAGAGCCCCTGACTCGGGCTAGTGAACCCTAACCAGATACTATTATCCCTGGAGGAGAGTCCCTGACTCGGGCTAGTGAACCCTAACCAGATACTAGTATCCCTGAGATATGTTTGAGGAAGTTTGGTTCTCAGAGTTGCTTTGTGGAGAAGGCCACTGTCCTGATCCTGCGTCCTGCTCTGGGATGAGTGGCCCAGACCCATAGGTGAAGAACTCCCAGCAGTCTCACGGTCAGGAATCGGGTTTTCAGGTGGTGTTTCCTACATGGCTCTGAGGACGACCCGTCTCTCCTTTGACACCTATTGTTGTTAAGTGCCGTCGAGTCGGTTCCGACCCATAGCGACCCTTGTACAGGGTTTCCGAGGGTGTAAATCTTTACGGGAGTAGAAAGCCTCATCTTTCTCCCGCGGAGCGGCTGGTAGTTTCGAACCGCTGACCTTAAGGTTCGCAGCCCGATTCGTAACCACTACGCTACCAGAGACACCTATTACCACCCAGGAACTAATGTTCTGAGTGAGTTCATCAGAAGACTCTGCCAGCGTCAATACGGGCTGTTTCTGTTTTGAGTCTTCTGTTTCTCAGTCTTCTCTTAAGGGTAGAGTCATTTCGGCACATTCCTGTTCATCTTCACCCCATTCTCCTCAGAAGTCCTCATATAGCACTGACAGCCTGCATCTGACCCTCTCCCTGGACTCTGGTAACACAGTTCCACTACTACATAGTGTGTGTGTGTGTGTGTGTGTGAAGGAGAGAGAGTATAAAGTCCTTGGAGACTGAGGCTCTATATTTTGCTTCTTTTAATCTCTTGCTGACCTCCCTCTTAAACGTATAGTGCCTTCTCTTTCATCCAAGTGTGTGTCTGTCCTCTAGCCAACAATTTCTTACCAAATCTAGCACAAAATATATCAGAGAGAGAGAGGAGGAAGGAGGGAGGGAGGCATGTTTACCAACTACTAACATCCAAGTATGGATCCTGGGGTGACACTATAGGCTTAGCACTGGACTGTGGACTGTAAGATCAGCAGTTCAATCCCATCAGCGAATCCTCAGAAACCCTATAGAGATTCATTATGAGTCAGAACCGACTCAATGGAACTTAAAAAACCAGCAACATCAAAGTCAATAAGGGATTTTTCACCTTTCTTATATAGTTAGATACCCTTGTGCATGTTTTCAATCCGTTCTGCTGTGCATGGGGTCGCTATGAGTTGGTTCCGACAACTACAACAACAACAAATCCCTTAAAAACTCTAGTAGCATAGTGGATTATGAGCTGAGCTGTTAACCAAAAGGTCAGTAGTTCGAATCTACCAGTCGCTCCTTGGGAGAAAGATAATGAATTCTGCTCCCGTAAAGAGTGACAGCTTTGGAAACCCTATATAGGGTTGCTGTAAGTCAGAACTGACTCCCCAGCACAAAACCACCACCACCACCACCACTAATCCCTTTTAAAAATCACCAGTAATTCTAAGTTTACCCACTCATCATTTCACTTCACTTTCAGTTGAGCATATAAACCTCTCTATGGAATTGGATTTGTTTGTCTAAGGCTGCATATGACTCGGTCACCATTTTTTTCCCATCTTCTCTTCCTTAGCAAGCTCCCACATCCCAGACATTGAGAAGGGCAGAAAATGAATACTGTCACTGTTTTCACTATGCTTTTTGAAAAGATTAAGGCTTTTAATAAGCCCATAATTACTTAAAATTCTTAATTAATATGTTTCAGCGCTTCAGCAAGCTGATCTAATTTAATGATATAATGAGTTATAAATCTTAAACCCCATTACACAGCTGGCTTTGACTGGCTGTCAAGGACTCCCCAAACTTGAGAGCTGTGCTTATTTTAGGAAAATGTGCAAAGATGCCTTCGTTATGGTTACCCTCTGAGTAGCAAGTGCTTTCCAGAGCTGGGTGTTAAGGCAGCAATTTGTGGACCAAGGCCTTCCACTGTTCGAAGCACCAAAGACCTGAGCCCTCTCCCACTGCCCTGGACTTTGAGCTCAGAAGACCCACAAGGCCACGTGGCTCACGCTCTGAGGGACAGGGTGGTCCAGCAGAGGCCAGCAGCATCTGGTTGGAGGCCAAGAACCTTATCCTCCTAGTTGTCATGTCTGTGCGCCCAGGGGCAAAACTCACAGCTGGCAAACTGCACCACTAAATTAAACTAAACTACGCTAAGCGTGCTGCACAACTGGGGAGCCGCCCCTGGACACCTCCCTTCCTCTTAGGCCCCGCATCCAACCATCAGCTTGAGAATCTCACTGTCATATCACCCCCAGCCTCCTGTCTCCCTCTGTCCACTGCAGGGCCTCCTAGCTGCCCCACCCCTGCCCAGCCCACTCCCCGATGATTTGTCACATACTCTTGCTTTCCTCCTGAGCCTGGACAAAGGTGGCTTCATCAGGGGGGCCTTCCCAGACCTCCCTGTCTAAGCAGCGTCGCCCTGGTCAGCCTCCACTGCTCGGAGCATCCATCCCAAACACACATCGAGCCCTTGCTTGCTCGTGATCTGTTTCTGTGTTCCCTACTGGACTGCAGCTCTCCAGGTGCCCAGCGCCGGCCCAGTGCCATAAGTGGACATTCCTAGTGAAGTCTTTACCTCGGCCACACCTTGATGAAGCTAACGGGCCAGGCAGCACAGGTTTCTGAGATCCCAGAGTGGGAGGTGTCCTTCATGTGAACAGGTGAGGAGATGGGGCGGGACCCTTCGAAAGAAGAATCAGTCACTCATGTCCCCACAGGGCTAGACTGGCCCCTCCCAAGGAAGCCACTGTGCTCCTGGGAGGCTGTGCCCTCGCTGGCAGAGGGGCAGGCAGCTAGTTCAGTTAACCTGGTGTTGAGGTTCTCATACCTAACGGGGTGAAAGTTCCATGGCTGCTGGGGAGGGCCTTGTGAGGGGAAGAAGGGGGCGGAGTCTTGCAGGGGTGGGCAGGAGTATGTTCTAGAATGGGGAGCTAGAGCTAGGGACTGTCTGCAAGAGGAGGGGCAGAGCCACACACTACTTGCTCTGAGGGGTTCAGATTTTCCCCATGGGACGAAGTTCTCAAGATTTACCAGGAAACAGCACACTCAGGTCCGCAGGAGTAGAGTCAGAGTAGGGACTTAACCTCCCTTATGTGCATTGGGATCCTTCAGGCTGCGCGGCATGGTGTTCCATTCCAGAGTGAGAGGGACTGCCCGACAAAGGGGCCCTAGTTACTGGCGTTCTTGGTGGCACTAAGTCCCTACACAATCTGCTAGCCTTCACACCTCTCAGTTAGTTGCCTCTGAATACACCATTAAATGCTTCTATTCTGACTTTACAATGCAATGACCCCAAACCAGGCATTCTGTACATTTGAAGGGCAGAATGGAAAAATCTAGAAATATCAACATATAGCTTACTTGTGCGATCCAATCCCCGAAGGAAGAGCTTTAATCTTATTAAACCGGAGGTCTAGCCAGCTCAGTTTGGGCAGTAACTGAAAGAAGTCTTGCGGAATCACACAGAGGGCATTTCTCTGAAGATGCAATTGCTTACGGAGGAAAGAAACGAGAAATAGGGAATGTTTTTTCAACCAACACAGAACACTTGATTTCAAAACATCTTCGACCCAAAAAGCATCTAGCACCTGCGATCATCCATGCCAGAGAAAGATGAGGCTTTGCCTAATAGTGTTTGAGGGTCAGGCTACCTGGCACTTCTTAAATCATTTTTCTCCTTCCTAAGAAGATCCCCAGCACTTCTCTCTCCTAAAGAGAAGCCGGCACGTAAAAGGCCCAGGGTTGAGGTGACGTTCTGTTCCTGAGGAGCAACCGACTTACTTTCAAGTTGGGGACTCTGAAGACCTCCCCTAACTGCTGGAGGCCAGTGTGACTCAAATCTAACACCAGTAAGGGAGAGAAGGGGTCCCTGGCGGCGGGGGTAGGCTCAGTCCTGGATCTGCCAGCACCATTCTCTTGGTCATCAGCAGCCCCTTGGAGAACTCGGTGATCGCAGCTCCCCTCCATCTGTCCACCTTGAGGAAGGGGCACTCCAGCCACCCACGTTCATCCTCCCTGGTCTGCAGTCACCTGGGAAAAAAGGACAACTAAGTGTGCCCCTGCAGTCACAAACAGAATACAAAAAGACAGTCTCAGTGACTGACCAACCAAGTGTGCAAATACAGTAACACTCAGAGAACCGACAGCTACACGGAGCAGTGAAGCAAGCCATCATTTGTAACGAATCGTTTCCTACATTTGTAGAAAACGGCAGTACAACATCAGATTAACATTCTCTCCCCCTCACTTTAGACATGAGGCCCAAGACTTCACTTTAACACTTGAAAAGCACAATGATGCAAAATGGGAATGGAGATTTTAAGAATGAAGGCGGGCGAGAGAATTTTAAAGTCTGGATGCCAATGGTATCCCTTTCATAAAAAGTGTGGAGAGGGACCCCTGAGTTTGTCTGGTCCCTTGTTGCTCCTGTGGCTCTGGCCCATTCATAGTACCCTCTAAGCTGCTTGAGGACTCCTGATGTGCGTTGCAGGATAAACTGGATTTCCAGTCACAAGGTTGATGGTTCAAACCCACCAGCTGTTCTTCAGAAACCCTGCACAGGGTCACTATGAGTCAGAATTGACTCCACAGCCCCTAACAACACTAAGCTGCATGAGGCGAGAGGTCTAGGCACACCACCAGCTTTGTTGACCATTTGGCCAGATGACCAGCATTGGATCTGGCTAGCTGTTAGGTGCTGGAGAAATATTTGTTAAAAGAAAAAGTTAAAATTTAGTTTGTTCGGCTATACTTTTGCTCAACACTAAATTCAAGAACCTTACTCACTACAATTTCATCCAGTGAGGCACATTTCCATTCCTAATTTCCATACAGTTTATCCAGCTGTATAATTAACACGTGAATTTACTGAACGGCTACCCTTCATTTTAACACAATCCACGGGCCAACTCAGTAATTGATACATGTGGCATCATTTCATCCCCATTTTAGAGATGAAGATGAATTCAGGTTAGTTAAGAACTTGCCGCAATTAATTAGAGTGGGGGGTGGGGGGTGGGCAGAGGCGTGACGCCCAGGTGTGTGTGATTTCAGGAATCGCCCTGGCTGCTTGCATTCCATAGGGTCTTTTTGAGGCACAAGTTGAAGGGCGATGGGGCTTGGGACCTAGGAAGGAGCCGGACGGTAGGGCCCCGCGCAGCCGAGGAGGTTAACGCCAAAGATCGCAGCGTGCCCTGCCTCAGCTTCCCATCCCAGCTAGGCTAAATGTTTTGGTCCTCACGTTCCAGGCCTGACGGGGCACAGCGACTTGGTCACTGGACTATGGGACCCGGCACGAGGAACCACAGGCAAGACCTTCTTCAGCTCCCCATACCGCGATCTCCGTCTTGGAGCACCCCCATTCCGGTCCCGGCGCCCCTAGATCACGATCCTTGCTCTCCGCATCTCAGATCTTACGTCCCTCATCCCGGTCCGACAGCCCACACTCCCCAATCCCATACCGGAGCCCTCGATCCCCGTTCCGGCGCCCCCACTCCGATCCCGCCCCCCGCCCCGACTCCCCCATTCCCACTCAATCCCTGTCCTGAAACTCCCGATCCCTGTCCCGACGTCCCCGTAATCACTTGCAGCATCCCGGCAATCCCGGAGCAGTGAGACCATCAACGGAGGAGGCCTCGAGCCCCAACAGTCGCCATGGAGACGCGACGCTGTACGGCGGCCCGTAGGTGCCACACTATGCGCAAGGCTATCGTACGTCTGCGCACAGTGACGCCTCGCTGGCTGCAGCCTGTTGGCGGCCTGCTGGGCTGTGGCTGCGGCTGTAGATCCCGGGGTCTACGGGCGCGTGGTCCATGGATCCACAATCTCTGGATGACTCAGAGAGAAAGAAAGAGGGACCAGAAGGCTTGCAGACTCAGGCGATGGAAGACGAGCCCTCCCTGAGGAAGCCACCTGAAGTGAACCCCAAGGTGGAGGGAGGCTGGCGAGGCAGGAGGCTGAAGAGCATCTGGGCCCAGGGACCTTGTGTAGAGCCGGGAGCGGCCTCAGAAGGTACCTGGGGCGCACACAGGCGGCGAGCCATTGGAAATAGATGTAATTTTAGCGCCAGCAAGAAGCTGGACTCACGTCCCTCCCTGTTTATTCACAGACCACTACCGTAGCAGTAGTGTTTTATTATCTCAGCCTCTCTTCATAAAGGTTCTGGCCCCAGGTTTGAATACTCTTGGTGGCTGTTCAGAACTGAACTGCGCCTCAGGCACCTGGCTTGCCTGGGACCCAGCGTGTCGGTCCTTCCGTTTAGGTCCCCTGCAGGTTTCTTTGAAACTTCTTTTTAAAGTGATCTTTTGTAGACCTTGTAGTAGGGGTTGTGGGAGGAAACTGAAACCCCATCTTGTCCAGAGAAAATAAATGTTCTTCCAATAAAGGAAACGATTTTGCTCTATCTTATATTTTTCTGTTGAATACCTTGGTATGAGACCGTGACAAGGTTACATTTGATATTTCTCCAATAATTAATCATCTTCTCCACTAAAAAAAACACCCCAAACCCAACAACCTTGAAATCTACTTTATAGAAAATTGAAATCCAGGACAATCAGCGTCCGAGATAAGTTCCTGAGGAATTCCAATGGCCCTAGTTTGTGAATGTGAAAATGTTCAAAACACCTGGAACAGTGAATTCCGATTTATGCTCTGGTGTGTGTTCTGTGGCCGTCACTATAAATGGGGACAGCTGGAACACAATTAAGACTGCAAAGAAAGAATGACTTCCATCTCCCCTGGAACTCCATCCCGGAACAACAGAGAATTGGACCGTGGAGAGACACAGCCTTTGGACATCGGTGGAAATTTGGGGATTGGGGGAAGATGGAGAGGGTATCCTCTGGTCCTTCCGAGGGGGCAGTGAGGTGAATCTGTAATGGACTCTCCACCAGTCTAAATAGTGAGATTGTCTCTAACCCCGAGAGACTGTGGATTCTCCCAGCAACCCTCACTGTGCCAGTTCTGTGGCTTTGGGGCATCCAGTGGCCCAACCCCCTTCACACACACACACACACACACACACACACACACACCCCAGGCTTCTGTTAAGACAGGGACAGGACACCGGCTTCCCCACAGTCCCCTCTGCCTGCTCTCATACTCCACGGTGCCATGCCCCATCTCATACTCCAAGGTGACCCCTCTTGAAACTCAGAAGGCACATTCACAGGAAGAAGGACCTACTGAAGGCTTGGGGGAGGAGCGTCTGTATCCCAGCAAAGCCACAACCTTGAGTGGGATGAGATTAGACCCCCCCAGGGAGTATGGTGGGCCCTTCCCTCACTGGCCACTGTCCCTCTCCACCTTTCTGGCGTCTGGTTCAGCACTCATCTCCTTTCCTTCCTTTCTCCAGTTGAAATACATTCTCCCTCTTGGTCTATCTCCTCCAGTGATACCTGTACACTGCCTGGATCTTTTTCAGACCACAGTAGACTCTCAGGCATGACTCACCTTTTGGCCCCTTCCAGAGCCCCCTTTCTTCCTGCAAGCTCACCAACACACTGAGAGTGTTGGTGTCTGCGGGACCTTGTGGGACGCCTTTCCAGGTGTCCTCTTGCCGAGAGGTCAGCAGAGGCCACGCAGACTCCCAAGGGTGGAGTCTGTGCCCTGAGTCAGCATAGTACCCTGTTTCCAAGTGTGAGAAGGAGGGAGCCACTGCCACCAATGTGTGAGCCCAATAAACTACCCAAGGCATAAGTGTCTGTCCCCATCTGCCCAACAGCTCTTTGTTGTTATTGTTATTCTATTGCTACATCACAGCCACATTACAACACTTCCTGGTAAACAGCCCATTCTAACACAGACAGTGGCGACAGTATCGAAACAGGCAAGGTTTCTGTCATGGTTCTCCAGTGCTGCTATAACAGACACAAGTGGATGCCACATGTCCCTCTCTGCTCACGGGTCTCTCCTTTGATCTCGTGTGAGATAAATGGTGTTGCGTGCCGCATCCCTGGGAATCTCCTGCACATCAGATCAGGGCCCTGGTGGGGTTAAAGGTGGCATATCCCACCCTGCACCTCACCCTTAATCCTCTTAGTGAATTACCACATCCCATCACCTCATGGGGGATGATCACATGACTACCACAATACATCATTACACATCCGTCAGACCACTGAGAACCATGGTGACACTAAGCAGACACACACTTTGGGTGGACATAATTCAATCCAGGACACTTTTAGAAAACAAACACTCCCTTAATTAAATTAACCTTGTGAGATGGGGCTTCAGACCAGCCTGTGATGGGCTTTCAAGGCTGGGATAGTCAAGCTTCTCTTGTTTTAGTCTCTATTGTTTTGCAACCAATGACCACAAACTTAGTGGCATGCTGCTGTTGTTGTTGTTGTTGTTGTTAGGTGCTGTTGAGTCTATTCCAAATATTCATACAGACCCCGTGCATGACAAAATAAAACACTGCCTGGCACTGCACCAACCTCACAGTTTCAGGATTGAGGCCTTTGTTGCTGCCACCACGTCATTCCATCTTGTTTGGGGTCTTGCTCATTTTTGCTGACTCCACTTTACCAAGCATAATGTCCTTTTCCAGGGACTGGTCCCTACTAATAGCATGTCCAAAGTATGAGAGATGAAGTCTGAACCACCCTGGCTTCTTATGAACGTTCTTCACTGCACTCCTTCCAACACAGATCTGTTTGTTCTTTTGGCAGTCCATGGTACTTTCAATATTCTTCTCCAATATCATAATTTAAATGCATTGATTCTTCTATGATCTTCCTTCTTTCTGACCAACTTTCACATGCATATGAAGCGAATGAAAATACCATGGCTTGGGTCAGGTGCACCTTGGTCCTAAAAAATGACATCTTTGTCCTTTAACAGTTTAAACAGATATTTTGCAGTAGATTAGCCTAACATAATGCATTGTTTGATTTCTTAACTGCTGTTTCCATGAGTGTTAAATGTGGAATCCAAACAAAGCGAAGTCTTTGGCAACTCTGATCTTTTCTCCCTTTATCATAATGTTATTTATTGGTCAAATTGTGAGGATTTTAATTTTCTTTACATCGAAGTGCAGTCTAGACTGAATGCTGTAGTCTTTGAACTTCATCAGTATTTCAAGTTCTCTTAACTTGTAGCAAGCAAGGTTGTGTCATCTGCATATCTAAGGTTGTTAATGACTCTTCCTCCGATCCTGATGCCATGGTTTTCTTCATATCATCCAGCTTCATGGATTATTTGCTCAGCATACAGATTGAATAAGTAGGGTAAAAAGATGCAACCCTGGTACACAGCTTTCCTGATTTTAAACCACTCAGTGTCCCCTTGTTCTAGTCTAATACCTGCCTCTTGGCCTATGTATTGTTGTTGTTGTTGTTGTTGTTAAGTGCCGTTGAATGTATAGGTTCTGGCATATCCATTCTTCAACATGAGATCCATAGTTTCTTCTAATCCACACAGCACAGCTGCAGCCATTTTTGAATTATCTTCAGCAAAATCTTCCTTGCATGTGATATTAATGATACTGTTCAATGCCTTCTGCATTCTGTTGATCATCTTTCTTTGGAATGAGTATAAATATGGATCTCTTCCTACTGTTGGGCAGGTAGCTATCTTCCAAATTTCTTGGGCTAGACCAGAGAGCGCCTCCTGTGCTGCATCAGTTTGTTGAAACATTTCAATTTGTATTCCATCAATTCCTGGAGCCTTGTGTGGTTGTTTGTTTGTTTCCCAATGCCTTCAGTGCAGCTTGGACTTCATCCCTCAATATCAGTTCTTGATCCTGTTGTATCTTTTGAAATAGTTGAACGCTTGTCAGTTCGTTTTGGTATTCCTTCTATCTCCTTTTGATGCTTCTGCTTCATGTAACCCTTTGCCCTTCTGTGATTGTGAAGTGCTCTCAAGTCAGTTCTGACTCAGTAGAGTTTCCAAGGCTTTAAATCTTGGAGGGAGCAGACAGCCTGCTTTTCTCCCTTAGAGTGCCTGGCAGGCTCACACCACGGATCTTGTGGTTCACAGTCCAGTGCTTATTGTATGGATCCATCGCGTTCCCACTTTGCCGTGTTGTTGTTGTTAAGTGCCATCGAGTTGGTTCTGTTTCCAAGGAGCAGCTGGTGAGTTTTAACTGGCGACCTCGTGGTCCAGTGCTTATCCTATAGTACCACGTATTGGAAACTGAGGCTTAAAGATTTTCTTTAGTTCTTTCGGCTTGAGACATGCCGATCAGGTGCTTTCTTTTTGTTTTTCTAACCCCGGGTCTTAGCACATTTCATGATAATACTTTTGTCTTCTCCAGCTGCCCTTGGAAATTTTCTGTCCAGATTTTCTACTTCATCATTCCTTCCAGTTCCTTTAGCTTCTCCATGTTCAAGAGCAAGTTTCAGAATCTGTTTTCATATCTCCTTTGGTCTTCTCTTTCTTTCCTGTCTTTTTAATGACCTTTTGCCTTCTTCATGTGTAATGCTCCTGATATCACCCCACAACTCCTCTGGACTGTGGTAGTTAGTGTCTAATTCATGGAACCTGCTTTTGAGATGGTGAGATAAACTCAGGTGGGAT